GTTCGACTTGGGGTATTCCTCAAAGGTTTCTGTAGAAAACCCTTTTTCCTCCTTATACACGATGGACCTCTTGTTGAGAACCCATTGGAATCTACCATCAAAGTGAGAGATAGAATGAAAACATCAAGGAATAATTTTCACAAATGATGCCAAAATGATCTAAAGAAGACCGATAAGGTTCACAAAAGAGGTAGTGAACTAGGATCTGGTGACACACTCTGGTAATAGATCATGTGTCTTGATGCTTCAATTTGGAGGTTGTTATAAATAGTTTTGTGCTCAAGTCAGAGACGACAAAAAATAAGAGATAGTTAGGATTATAATAATGTGTACCTTGATGAGAATATTTTATTGATGGTTTTAGGACTGAAATTCTTAGAGCCTTCACTCAAAAGACAAATATTATCATATCTCAACTTGTCATGATAATAAAATCCTTTTTTGTTGATGATTTCTTAATGCACCTATTATGTTTTTTAGGCACCACGCGAAATTATTTAAATGCCCCTAATTTCTAGAGATGCATCTCTAGACGCATCAAATTTTGAATAAACGTTAAAATATTCTGGAGATGCATCTCTGTAACAGTTTAAAACATACAATACATTACAAGCAGAAGCAATTATACACTTGAGTTGGACTGGAGATACATCTCCGTGAATATTCCAGAGATACATTTTCATAACGTATCAAAACTTGGACTTTCATGTTATATTTTGTTTATTTGTATTCAGATAAAGATTTAAACTATACCATACAATCGAAAAAAATAAAAATAGACGTACATAATTTCAAATAGTCTAAAAGTTCCATACATAAATAAAATACCAATAAATGTCGAAAATGCCATACAATCGAGATCAATACAGTAACATGATTTCAAAATAAAATACATATCATAGTACTACTACTTTATACTAAGACACTATTATGTATGTCTGATTACCTCTCCTCTACCTCCTCTACCTCCTCTGCCTCCTCCTCCTTGTCTAACACCTCAACCATCAATCCTCATGTCCTCCGGTGATGTCTCTAGTACAACAATGCCCTATATGCCTCCATCATGATGGCATCTAGGATCTGCCAAACATCAGACCCATTAGGGAAGATACCTCTGTCAATCCCTGCCTGGACAATCTCCACGAAGTGATGACATTTAGGCAAGACATCCTCAACATGATCTAACTGTGTCTGCTTCTCCTCTAGTATCTCCTGATGTGCCGACCTTAGTGGATCTCCTAGAACAGCATGCACAATGTATGGATGTGACACCCTAAAGAACCGTCTAATGTACTCCATCAATGTAGCTCCAGTCGCTCTCAGCTATGGTAGCCTTTGCCTCCTCCGGTACCAAATGACTCTCATAATCATCAAACATGTTATCTATTTATCTACGAGTCAAGGCAGGATGAGCAGAGACAACAGGATATTTGGGAATGACCTGAGTGTAGCCGAACTTCCGCATGAAGCGCTCGGGCAGATGATGAGTAGTGAGACGCGATCTGTAGGCCAATCATCCAGAGTATAACAATATCTCGTAAAATGGACATGTTTCACGATGATCAACATAGTTGTTGAAGTACATGTCCTCAGCAACCAAACAATCAAGATAGACTCTCTAAGGCTCATTTTCCTGGTTCCCTTTGAGTGGAGAAAAAGCAGTAGCATGCGGCATATCCTCAGTCTAAGATGGTACACTCGCTCAGCCAGAGATGCGAGATAAGTGTTGAAGGACCCAAGCCTGAAATGAAAAGTTCAAACACACAAATCATCAATAATGGATTTGTAAAGATGAAATGAAAATGAAAAAAAATAATTCAAAGACCAATGATTATTACCGTCAGTAGTATGACGTTGCCTGTGACCTGTTTCATCTTTCACATACAACCCTCTCTCAACTTCAAGTATAGGTACACCAAACAAGCTACCCTTAATTGTACTCATGGATAACTTGAAATCTATGAAGTGTCGAAGGTAGATGTTGTCTGTATAAGTGACACTATTGTCTATGAAAATCATATTGCCAACCAAATAAAACAGGTATGCTTTTATAGCATGTGATTTGTGGAGCGCCACCTGCTCATCATCATTTTTAGCCTGCTGTGCACTCAGGATCTTAGCCTCATATATCTTCTTCAAGTATTCAAATATAGCATGAGCACCCCTGGTCTTATCCAACTTCTTATTCACCTCCTTTGAATCATCCACTAAATAGTCTACCATCATCTCGAGTACCTTGTCTTTGGTAATCCCCTCATAATCTAGGAATCTCCTATTGATCGAAAGATGTAGCAAACATGAGACATCGTCAAGTGTGATAGACATATCACCATGTGGGAGATGAAATGACCAGGTCTTCGAGTGTCATCTCTCCATGAATGCATTAAGCATCTCGTGGTTAACCGTAATATAACTAGTCATACACAAGTCCTTCAGGCCAGATAAGGACAAAACTAACTGAAACCAATTCTCACTCGGCTGAGGCAAGGCAACAATCTCCTGCCCTTGATTAAGAAACATCTGCGGATTACGCTCCTAAAAAAATAATAATCAATGTCAGAAATTTGTCAATTAAAATTAACGTAAAAAAAATGATGAATACAACTAATGTTACCTCTTCGTCTCATATATATGTCTGGTAGTATGATTTGGATATAGAGGTAGTAATGAAAAATCAATTGGGCCTCCTCCAAATGCCTCTGACTCAACATCCGCATCAACCTCACCCTCAAAAGGTGGCAGTGGATCAGCAACATCAACAGTAGGAGGTGGGACTAGATCAGAAGCATCTACAGTAGGAGGTGGCACTGGTGAAACCTGAAGTCTGCAGGAGGATGGAGGAATTGATGCTTCAGATGGTGAATCTCGTCTCTTATGGGAAGAAGAAGATGAGGTGGCATTAGGAGAAACACAAGCCCCGAAAGTAGATGGTACTGCCTGACCAGACGAACCAGTAGCCTCTAGAACCTGTTGAATCTTCTCCCATTGCATTGATGTATATTGAACAACCCTCTTGTGCCTCAGTGTATCCTGTCTATCAATCATTATGTCTGTAAGTTAAAGTAAATCTGACTATTAGTGCAGGCAAACAACACACAAGCAAGAAAATAAAAAAAGAAAATACTACATAAATTTTTGGAGATACATCTTTGGAATCTGGGAAACTAAAATGCTAAAAAATTCTGGAGATGCGTCTCCAGAATTTCCTACAACTCAGAAGTCGCGTCAATGACGTCAATGTACCCCATGCAATCTTTAAAAAAAAACTTGTTTTAATAATCATTTTTAGCCAACAAACATCTAATACACTATGTCTAAACAATCTTAAATGCTATTTCTACTCATTTCTAATTATAATCATTGATTTCTACTCATTTACACAAAAACTAAAAAATTTATCGAAAATTCAAAAAACTTACAAGAAATTGATGTTTCAGATGTTTTTTTTTTATGTTAGAGATGATAATTGAAGTTCCGTTAAGCTCTGATGATTGAGTGTTGAGTTAGTGCAGAGAAAAATTTGAGAGAGTTTGAAGATTAATTTGAGTAAAATGAGAATCGAGGAAGGAGAAGGGTCTGACGCGATTTAACCTCTAAAATATTGCAGAGATACATCTCTGAAATATTTTAACGTTAATTAACCTTTTAGTATATTCAGAGATGCATCTCTAAAATCTGAAAACATTTATGTATTTTTGCATGGTGGCTACAAAATATATGAAATGCATTAAGAGATTCTCTTCATAAAAATGTTGAAATGTTCTTCTCCTAGTTCACTCATTCTATTGGGCCTTTATGGAGTGGCCATCAACCCAATCCAAAACACTCATTCGGGCATCAACCCAATCCAAAACAGATAGCATGTGTGTAGTTTTGTTTATTTTATATAAAACATATTCATATCTTTATTAATTAAAATAGAGACATGTTCTATGCACCATGCGTTTCCATATATAAAAGCATTTGCCATTTTTTTTATTTTAATTTTTCAATTTACGAAAAAAAATATTATTATTTAAAATATATACCATAAACATAGAATATTGACAACTCTCTTAATTAAAAAAAAGTAAACATTAGTTGTCACCTTAATGAAGTAAACATTAGCTCTGATCGGTAAGAAAAAAAAACTAAATATTCTTCAATGCTTGACTAAAAAAATGTTCATGCACTATACACTAATTCACTAAATTTATACGATGATCTTTAAATTATATATGAGAATGAGAGGATTGTATAATATATATTTTTAGTGTTTATTTTATTTATTTGGATTACTAGAACTCCATTATATTAAAATATTTTTCTCAATTATCATTTTATATAAATTAAGAAATATACTAAAAAAAGTAATAATAATTTTATTAAATTATTCATATAAACTATTAATATATTTATATTACCATAAACATAAAAGAAAGAATAATAATTTAGAAACAATGCACACATAAATAGTATTAATTAACTGATATAATTAAAAAAAAAAATAAGTATTCAAAATTAGATTACAAACTAAAAAGTCAAACTCTTTGAAGCAATTTATTTTAAAAATTGACAATTATTAATCCAAAATAGGAATAATATATTTTATATTAAATAATAAAATTAAGTGGGATATTCTAAAAATACATCCTCTAAAAGACAATTTTCAACACATTCTTCTATTTATTTAAATGTATATTTAGAGTATACTTTTAACATTATTTTTAGAAAATATATTAAATTGTTATTAACAAAATAAAAATAGAAAATATATTAAATTATTAAATAAAAAATGAAAATATATTAAATTTTAATACTTACTTTTGTTTAATTAGATTATTATATTGCTTTTTGTAGTACATTTTACCAAAAAAGTGAAGCCAAAATAAGCTTCATTTTTGACTAATAAGTTTCCTACTGTGAACACCTCCAGCTACTACAATTACTTACCAGCATTTTCACTTCACTGCTCAAGCTTAAAAACACCATCATTCTTTGAAACAAACAACAGCGAAAAAATGCAGAGCGCAACTCGATTAGAAGCAGAACGGTTACTTGGAATCTCAGAGAAGCTATTACAGAACCGGGATCTAATGGGTTCTAAAGAATTCGCAATCTTAGCACAAGAAACGGAACCTCTTCTAGAAGGTTCCGATCAGATCTTAGCCATTGTCGATGTTCTCATCGCCTCCGAGAAACGCATCAACAACAACCCTGACTGGTACTCCATCCTCCAAATCGATCGCCGATCCGACGACACTGACCTCATCAAGAAACAGTACCGCCGTCTCGCTCTTCTTCTGCATCCGGACAAAAGCAGGTTTCATTTCGCTGATCATGCTTTCAAGCTTGTTGCTGATGCTTGGGCGGTTCTCTCCGATCCAATCAAAAAGTCTCACTATGATAAAGAGCTTTCGTTTTTCTCTCGGGTTGATTTGTCTGTTCCCGGTTGGGTTCAGCAAGATAAGGTGTCAGGGCCGGTGCGTAGAACCGGTCCTGGTACTGGCCATGCCCCTGTACCTGGACCGGAAATTGGAACCGGTCCACGGAACAGTGCTGCTTCGGCTAGAGATGGAATAGCTGCCGATGAAAACGCTCGTCGTAGGAACGCCACTTTTTGGACTGCTTGTCCTTACTGTTACCGTTTGTATGAGTTCCCTAGAGTTTATGAGGGTTTCTGTTTGAAATGTCCTAATTGTGAAAGATCTTTTCACGGTGTTAATATTCCGTCTCTGCCGCCGTTAGTTCCGGGGCAAGATGCTTATTATTGTTGCTGGGGTTTTTTTCCAATGGGTTTTGTGCTTCGGAATGTTGGCTCAGAGGAAAAGGAGACTGAGCTGGCTCCTGAAGTTGTGCCGGAGCCAGAGACTGTTCCCGTGCCAATATCAGTTCAGACTGCTTCGGTTCAGCCCGCCTCTGCTCCGTTTCAGCCTGCTCCTGCTCCGGTTCAGCCTTCTTCATTTCAACCTGCTTCGGTTCAGACGAATTCGTCGCTGCCGAATTGGATGCCAGCACCTGTACCAGTGGAGAATGGTGGCAACAATGTGATGCCGGTGGCACCAATGGAAGTTGTGGTTGCTACGCCTGCAAGGGTGACAACAAGATCAGGTGCTGTAACAGGGGTTGTTTCGAATGGTGTGGCTGCCAGGGGTTCGGGATCGGGTAAGAAGCGTGGAAGGCCGAGGAAGTATTATTGATGTGCGGTTGGGAAACAATAAAATTGAGGTGGACCTGAGTCAAGAATGTTAGAAAGTGCGATTGCATTCGGGTATTTGTGGGCTGGATTTTGTAAGTTATTTGATAGTTTTAGTTAAGATTCGGAAGCTGTTTTGGATGGATAGTATGTAGGTACTGTTATTCTGTTCTTTAATAATTACTTGTTTATGTAGATATAGTTAACTTAATTGGTTAATAATTACTTTGCCTTTAGTATCTGATATTTGGATTGACTCAGCGTATCTGCTAGTTGCCAAGGAGGAGAAAATGTCACATTTTGTTTTTCTCGAAATTGACTGCTAAAACCCTCATTTCAAGTGGTTTTGAAAACATGTATTTTATCTGTGTGTTAACCTGTTGGATGTGTTTCCATGATGTGTCTTGCGTCCTCATCATTGTGGCTGCGACTTTTCTTAAACTACATATGCAAATTTTTTAGGAATGTTCGGAACGGGATGGCTAGTGTTGTCAATTATGAGTCACTAGTGATGTTATTAGGCCTTTATACATCTAAATCTATACTAATAGTGAGCTTCTCTACTCTGCCATTATATTTTCTCCAAATTTTCATTGTTAATGATATTTGTTGATAAGTTTTCATGATAGCAAACTGTTTCGAGTTTTGATGGCTTGTCTTCTTTTGTTTTGGATCTGCGATTATAATGGCATGGCAGGTATTCATGAATGTCGTAGAGAGAATCTGAAGTGTCACAATTGCTTGGTCTATGATCCCAAAATTTTTAGTCATGTGATTGTCAACCTCCCAAGTGTTAGTTACCGGGACCTTTCCAGGATGATTTGGCATAACATGGTTGGGGGTACAATCACCATTGGAAGATATGCAGTCACTTTATTAACCAATGAGGGAGTGTCCTTTTCAGATAGTTAGTTTGCTAAACTCTAGGGGTTGGCTTGTTGGGTCTTGAGTGTGTCCTTTCCAGGTGTCATGTTCGAATCATGTTAAGTGTCAATGATTCCTATGTTGGGTCATATGTCTAAGCTTTAAATGAATCCTCTGTCAATGGATGGTGAAATTGGTCTAGCTAGTAGGTTGCAAGGCAGGATACCAAACTTTTTATAAAAAACTTTTGCCAGAAATTTAAGCTACTGATTAGTTAGTTGCTGTGCTGCCATAGCTTGATTACAGTTAGAGAAATTCAATAAAAAAAAATACACGTGTGAGGATTAATGGGAGGAAAAAGGATTCAATTTTGGTACTTGTCGATTTACATGGTAGGATTCTTTGTTACTCAAATTCATATCCACTTGAATATCAACATTGACACCCATTCCCGTATCTTATGAGTATATAAGTGCGCATATCTATTATCTGCATTTCTAATAAAAATAAATATATAAAATATAAAATATCATAATATTTTAAAATTTTGAAAACACTAAAATAAAAATTTTAAAAATTTATTGTTGAATTATGAAATAAATAATAAGTAGTTTAAAATTGATATTTTTTAAAAAAAATTTATAAATATTTATTTTTAAATAATAATAAAAATTAAAATACATAAATATATATTGTGCGGGTATTGAGCAGAGTGGGTATTAAGGTGTCTATACTCACACTCATCCTTGCTTATTTAAGTGTATAATTACCCGAGTCAGTGTCCGTACATATTTTTGCAAATTTTTTAGCTTTTCTTTTTGTTGACATTATGGTTACGAGGATATTTTGTCCCCTTCGTTCACTCGTTGCATTCTCTTTCCGTCCTCATTTTCCGCTGCATATAAATGGATATATTTGATTTGTCGAAGAATCATGTGATTGTTAATTAGTGTCCATGAAGCGGAGCTTGCTGGCTGTCAACATAACAATATTTGCGCTATTTTTCATTACACGCTTTCTAAGAAAACCATAAGTTTTCAGTCACAATAAATTTTTAAAGTATACTTTTTGGGAACCTTTTAATGTACTCTTTATGTTTTTTAGTCATCATGTGAAAATACATAAATGTTCTCAGATTTTGGAGATATATCTCTGGATGCACCAAATTTTAGTTGAATGTTAAAATATTTCAGAGATACATCTCCGTAACAATTTAAAACACATACTATACATCACCCTCAAAAGTCATTATACAAGTGTATTGTATCAAAGAAAACCCTTCATGTTATGTTTTGTTTACGTGTATTCAGATGCAGATTTAAACTTTACAATTGAAATGCAAAAAAAAAATAATGTACATAAATCCAGATGTTCCAAAAATGTCACATAAATAAAATACCAATAAATGTAAAAAAAAAAAAAAACAATGATAAAGTAGCATGATGTCAAAATAAAATATAATCTATAATACTACTACTATATACTAATGCACTATTGTGTATGTTTGACTACATCTCCTCTGCCTCATCTGCCTTCTCTACCTCCTTGGCCATCAATCCCTCCGTCCTCTGACATTGTCTTCGGTACATCATTGTCCTCTGTGCCTCCGTCATAATGACATATAGGATTTGCCTCACATCAGACCCATTAAGGAAGATTGTAGCGGGAAAATTTGTGAGTGTAAGATATCGATTAACTTAACTCAAAATTGCAAGAGGCGTCACCGCACATTTTATTTATTCAAAAAAGGAAAGGAAAAAGAGCGAACAAAACCTAAAGAGTTCTAAAACAAGAACAAACAGAGAATGGGTAAGGGGGTTGGTTACACAAAGGGAAGATGTTAGCACCAAAAGTGTATATAGTACTATATAGGAGCTCTTTGAAATATCTACGCTTTTTGGTTTGAAAAGGTTTGTTTGAAATGAAATTGGGGAGATAAGAAGAGAAATATATTTTTTTAATATTTTTGTGTTTAGTGAGACTTATCGCCTCATGCCCAGAGTGAAATATAGGATCAAAACCCCGTAGTTCATGGTACAAATGACAAAAATTTGTTGGTTATGATTCTTTTTATCTTGAAAAGATAACCTGTCATTCTCAAGAGAGAATACTCAACTAATTACCCAATGGTATGCGAAAGAGGCATTTGCATCACATTAAGATGGAGGATTTGCTTGGATTAAAATCAACAAGACTAATCACATCAACATCATAGTGGAAAATGACCATACTTTACACAAAAACCATGGTTAGGAGCTTTACATATTATCAAAGAAAATGACTCATGTCTAATCTTTTTGAAAAATTTAAAAGAAAAAGTGCACAAAAGCACAAAAAAGTTTGAATGAGTTTTTTTTTTGTATTTTTTATGTCTTTTTGAAATGAGTCAAAGTATGGTTAACATTGATTGACATTTATTAAAGAAAACAAAGTTTGAAAATCACTTGACCAAAGTCAAGGTTTTATTAAGAAAGTGGTTTTAAGTTTGAAAACAAGAAGGTTTTGAAAAAGAGAGGAGATTTTAAAAATTTAAGAAGGGGGTGGAGAAGAAGGGACTATCCTATTTCATAAAGATAAAATCTAAGGATAAGAATAGTCTAACCACACAAGCAAGCTCCATAGAATAAGCATTCTTTCCTTTAGATTAGGCCTTGATCAACATAAGTTTTCAAAGGAGAACTCTAAGTACCCAAAATGCAAGATTCGACATCACAAGTTTTCAAGCATAGGTTGAGATCCTAATTCTAGGTCCAAAATTCCATGTACAATGCAAAGGATAATAACCATAGTCCACCACTATGAGAACAAGTTTTTTAGGGGTTTAAGCTTTTATTAGTGTTTTTTGGTCCAAATGGACAAAAGAAAAATAATATAAACATAAACAAATGGTCCAAGTGGACAAAAGAAAAATGGCGTAAACATAAACAAATAGTATGATTTGATATGATAACATAAAGCATAAAAAATAAAGAGAGATAGGGAGTGAGAAATAAACATAAACAAAGCACAATTAATATTTAATATATAGCAAAAATTGTCCAAAATGAGAGCACAAGTTTTGTTGTGTTTTCAGAAATGCTCGACTAAATGTCCATGAGAATGAAAACATAGTCTCATACATTACCATGGGGAGGGTTCCAACTCGAATAAAATCAACGAGTATGCCAACTAACCCCCATGGGTAACAAGAGAAAGTCAATCTATTTCAAACAAACTACACCATTGATGGATATGAGACTGATAATTCGCTTGCAAATCACAACGATTTTTCGATTTCGGGACAATTTAGCGCTATGCTAAGCAATCATAGTCAGGTTTATGTAGAAACCACGACTATCTGAGGTCGGTCAATAGCAATGTTAGTGTTAATGTATGCTAGATAAGTGATATGTAAATCACTCTCCGAAAGCAATACCACACGAAAAGAAAAGTGGTAACGATCTCATCTTCATCAAAAACTTAAACTAAGTTCCAATGATATGGAAGATTTTCATTGATCAAAAGAAAAAGGAAAAGAGGAGAGGGAAAGTAAAATTGAATTACAATTTCAAGGTCATTCCAACTTTAATTTCATCCACTCATCTTGGTGGATTAAAGCACTAAACATATCATTAACTCAAAGCACCTAAAACGAATTGAACAATTCACTTTAAGATAGATTTGAATAAGTGGATGTTTATCCAACTTCATCTACACCTAAGTCCAATGAATTTAAAGAGGAATATGACATTTAAAAGTGTAATCCAAAGCAAAAACCAAAGGGAAATGGAAGAAGAGAAAAGAACCAAAACAGTCCCAAAACATAGCCAAAAACACAATCTGGACACTGGGTAATCGATTACCCTAATGTTGGTAATCAATTACCACTGTTAAAAAGGCATATTCAGGCGCAAAAACAAGGTGTTAATCGATTACCACCAGGAGAGTAATCGATTACACCTGCTAAAACAACAGAAAATCAATTTGAAAATATGCAAAACTTGATCAATCATTTCTTCAAATACCTTATGATCAAGAATGCAATTGTACACGAAAATTTAAGCAAAGCAACAACAAATAACACCAACGGAACATAATTTGCAAGATCCAAAGATCAAGCAACAAGAATTAACAATAGATCACATTGTAAAGGATGAATCA